AATACTTATAATATAATTTGAAAGGTAATTTATATGTGGGTATCGAATAAACCTTTTTTGGTTTGCTTGACATTAGATAAGTTTGTATTTGTTGCAAACGCTATAAATTTGTGGAATAATTTTAAAATTATTTTGAGGGTTTGATTTACCTTTTTAGGTATTTATTATTATTATCTGAAATATCTAAATAGATGTGTCTATAACGTGTCATTGAACGCAAAAAAACTTTAAATTGCTTTAATTTTGGTATTATAGATGATTTATGCCATTATTTGTTGTGTTTCCGTTTTAACAGCAAAAACCTTAAAAAAAAAATTGGGCCTCTATCACACAAAATAGCCAGCCCAACAACAACCACAAAACCGACAAACAGAAAACCAATTGAAACCGAAATGGGAGAGATAAATTTTGTTTGGTCTATTTGGTTTAGGTTATTGCTGACATGGCTTTTTTTGCCCCCCTCACAAATGCTGATGTGGATGCATGAAAAGGGAGAGAAGCCTACTTTATTGTATAAGATTGAATTTTTATATTTACATATCTTATTTATGATTCTTAAGTATTTTTTATTTATCATTTTAATCTTTAAAAAAAAATTATATCTCAAAAATCTTCAAATTTATTTATATAAATTAAATTTTACATATAAAATTAAATAAAGAATTTAAAATAAGATTTATATTATTTTAAAAGTAGAATTAGACAACAAGAATATTACAAAACAAACTTAATTAAAATTCCTTTTTAAAAAAATACATGAAGACATAATTATTCTAAAAATTTAAATATAACAACAACACTAATAATCTGGCAAATCTACCCCGAAAACTCCAAAATGCATAACATGATAATTGAGGATGAATGTGATATTAATGCGCCAATAAAAGATACAATATCAGTGGCATAAACAATGGTTGATATGGCGGAAAAATGAAAATATCTGTTTTCAACAATTCTTAGCTCGTAATCTACAAATTAAAAATAAATAGAAATATTTCTTACTTCAAAATGCACTAATTGATCACATATGGAAAGAGCATTACAGAAATAATTTCATGGAATAATGTCGTATTTTTCTTGTAGTTTAATATTTAATTATGTGTTTTTATTTTTAGCTGTATATTTTAATGCAAACTTTTATTAATTGATACTGTTGTAATATATATATGCGTTAGTTATTTATAATTTTTTATGAATTTTCATTCATTGTGAAAAATATGAAGACCATAATGTAAAATATAAATACTTTTGAAAATAGTTTTAAAGTTTTTTTTGGAGGAAAATACTTTGAAACTTCAAATATAGAATTTGGAAAACTTCTATTTGTTTTTAGAGATGCTCTAAGGATAGAAAGGATATTCTCAAGTTCACCTATTAATATTTATAGATCATCGTCTTATAAAAAGTTTTCTTAAGACAATAATCATCTTAATCCAATCCCTTATATATATTAAAAGAGAAGCATTATAATAAATTTGTTTACACCGTAACTGATACGTGACGGTATTACAATCATTTTAGTTGATGCGAATCTTAATGATTTTTTTTAATATTTAATGTATTTATCCATTATTTTTTAATTAATTCATGTTCCTACATTTTCAGTTTTTGTATTAATAAATTAAAATTTTCTACTTAAAACCAATGAATAATATCTTTATTGTAAAAAAAAATTACAAATCATTAAGATTCGCATCAACTAAAATGTTGCGATGAAAATGTTTGTAGAAATTGAAAGTTTCGTACCTTGCCTAAGTTGGTCATGGTTTAGGCTTCGATACATAATAACAACAAATAAGGTGAATGATTATGAATTAAAGAAACTGAGGTGAAAAACACCACAAGTAAATTCGGAATGTTAACATTTTTATAAAGTTTTCATAGCAGACCAAGAATTAGAAACAAAATCAAATTGGTAGAAAAAAATCAGAAATCAGAAAATCTTTAAAAAAAAAAAAAAAATCACAAAATTGATTAAAAACAGAATTCAGGTACCAAGTGAAATGTCATTTTGTAATATATATTATTTTTATTGTTTACAGGTACAATTTGATTTTCTTCATATGAAACAATTTTATTAATTTCTAGGTTTGTTTTACTTTTACTTAATTTTATTTAACAATTTACTATCATGTGTTATTTTGAACAAAAGAGTTTTAAATCTTAATTAACGGTATATTCATAATTTATCATCACATTTATATACTCTTACATATATACACATGTACACATTGACATGAACGACTATATAACTAAATATTCACCACAAGTGAGAATTTTAATTCTTATTGAAATTGAATTTTTTTTAATATTTTCTTTCACTATCGCTCAAATTGTAGTGAAATATTTTATGTTAATAATTTTATTTTATTTTTCTTCAAATATTATTTAGATTTTATTTGAGAAACTATTAGTTCGGCATCAAAAATATCTAAAATTTATATAAAAATGAAACCAAACAAATAACAATAGTTTTTGGTTATCATTTAAAAAAAATCAAAAACATCAAACATTTAAACAAACAAACCAAAAAAAATATAGATTTAGAATGATAGTTATATTTTAGGAGATTAGAAAAACAACGTAAAAATAAACCACTATCTATGCTAAACAGACATAATATCATTTTTATCTTAAAAGTAATAAAAGTAATAATCTCATTCCATGCAAAACGCGGGTTATTACCTAGTTTCATTGTTATTTTCCATGTACTTGGTTGATATCTTCTAATAGACGTCTTTCAAATAATCCACTATTTAATTAAAACATTCAACTTGAATAAGGAAGCTGGCTGTAGGAAATTAGGTAGAAACGGCAAACAAGATCTATAACGACGACATCGAAAGATAACCCAACCGAAGTTGTCGTCTTTCTTTCTCGCTAGATAAGCTGCAATAATATCCTTGACAAAAAAGACAACTGATAGATATGGAATAGTGACAACACAAGAACTATGAGAAGCAAGAAATAAAGAAATCATCCAGCTATGTCATAAGCGAGACATGTACAAACAATACCTCCCCATCAGATCCCACTACACCATTGATATGCTCAAATTTCTCTAACACCAACTCTGTAATTTTAAAGCGCCAGTCGTAATG